GCCACATTACTTCTCTCCCATTACAGGGTGATGAGATCGCAGTGGAGTGCACCTACAGTACTACCAATCGCACCAAAGTCACTATGGTGGGTAAATACAGTATGACCTAATGTCATTACACATATAATGTGCTTTAAATTAAATCAGTGCTATCCAAGAATATTTACAAATTCATTTATCTGACATGGTCAAACTGTGTGGAATTTTAACTATTTGCCTAATGGAGGTATTTGGTTCAATACAATGAAATGTTCAAACATTATTATAAGACTCCTTAAGAGTATACAACACATAATGCTAGAGTGCCTGATTATATCATTCCCATGGCATCATACATTCTCTTGTGTGGCAATGCCTGCCATGTTTCACATTTTCCTCCTTCAGATGGGGTTAGCGACTACTGATGAAATGTGCCTGGCCTTCCTATTCTACTACCCTGCAATCAAGATCACCACATGTGTTAGCTACCCAGATACGAAATCATCGATGAACACAAGCTACCAGTAAGTCCCGACGCAGTCCTTCACATATTTCTGCTGAGGCTGAATCTAGCTCCCTACCAGTGCTGGTTTACAAACTACAGACATATATTATATTTTTAAATATAGATTTATCTTGATATGCCCTTCTGAAGAGGTTCTCTACTCATTTCTGACAGGATGACAACTTCCAACAAGGATGGAATTGCTGAGTATGAGAGTTTGTTAAAGACCCTACCACAGCATCAGATAATCATGGATGACTTTGTAAGTAACAATCTGAATTAATTGATTGTCTTTTCTACTTCCAGTCTAATCAAGAAATTCACATTTTGTAAAATAGTTTTAGATTTTTAGGACTGTAGAGTCCTCTGTCTGTCATGGTTTCCTACCGAGTTCCTCAAACAGTTATTCTCCTAAAAGTACCCGCTATTATTTTATCATTAATAGATTATAAATATTTCTGTCAACACTTACTGCTTAAGGCATACTTTGGTTCAACTATTTGACTTCAATAAATAACCTCAATTACAGATCCATGCAATGCCATTATTAACAAATTTTAAATATGAAAATTGTCTGATACTGGGCATTGTTCATATGTTGTTGGGGTAATTTAAAGTCCCCTCAACCCTTCTTCTTGTTCCAATTTCGTCTCTTCTGTTTCTCTGTGTGTTTGTAAGCATTTGTATTTTTCATCATTATGTGGCATTTAATGTGAAGTCCCTGACAACAAAGCAGGCTCTTCTGTGATGCTTGTTTTCTGCAGTATCATAAAAATTATATATTTGATCATCCTTTCTTTTTCACAGAACAACATCTCATCTTACAGAAATGGAAAGATCAGGGAGATGATGAAGACACCGACTGTCACTTGTCAGAATACCAATGCGTCAAGCAGACTCTGCACTTCCTGGGTTGTGAACCTACCAGAAATCACACTTTTGATACTCTGGATGGCAATAATATGACGTGGCTCTAAACGCAACAGATCTAAACCTTCCGGGCTTAATTGATAAAATCTCTATCTCTATTAAAATTTCTATTAATTGTTAATCACAGATCAGGTCGCATATTATTTGGCAACAGTATTGATTATCACACTGAGATATATATTACTGACTTACTTAAAACTCTGATTTGTAAAAGCACAAAGTGCTTGTGCTATATGTGCCTTGAGACAAATTAGTTATCTAAACACAGTAAGATAGTTTAATTTACCATATGTGATTAAATGTATACATTTATGCCTATAGTACTATACCTTGAAACTAAAGTTGTAGTTATTATGTACACTTGACATATATACAGTTTGTGTGTGTGTGTGTATAAATATGATTATGTATTAGAATATATAGCACTTATCTTTGTTTGTGTATTGTGTTAATTACATGGAATGTAAGACTAATTGCTGATTTTATATTTATATGAGTTATTTAAAAGAGTATATATAATAATATATAACAATATAAAAATATATATATATAATATATATATTAAATGGTATATATATATATATATATATGCATCAAGCACATGCTTGGCATAAAAATAAATGAAATGGCAGATACGGTTGCTAAAGAGGCCACAAAAAGAGATTACATTGATGAGACAGTTAGCTTCAGTATAATAGAAATCAAGAACATTATTAAACAGAGAATGAAGGAAAGGTGGCAAAAGCAATGGGAGGGAGAGAGGAAAGGACAGTGGTTTTACAGAGTTCAGAGGAAAGTGGGAGAAATGAGATGTGCAGGAAGGAACAGGAGAGATGAGACAATCATATCAAGATTTAGATTTGGACACACTGGACTAAACTGTACATTATTCAAAATAGCCAAACATAACTCAGGCAGTTGTGACTACTGCGGGCCAGAGGAATCAGTAGAGTAGGCCTACGTTATGTTACACTGTCCAAAATATAAAGAAGACAGAAGGCAGATTCAAAACCTCAGAATGATACAAGTAGGAATCAAACACTTTGATTAAAATGAACTCAAAACATGAGGGCTATCGAATTATATGTCATTATCGAGTAACCAAAAATGATTAAGAGGATCTGAGTTTTTAAAAAATAATGTAAACTGCTCATTCTAATGCACACTCCACACAGTTGAAGGCGGGAATGCACCAATTCGTATTGCACTCACATCACATTTGGGTAAAACCATGGAACATATGATAACAGACAGATTAACATTCTTTCTAGAAAGCAGAGATCTGTACTCACCATACCAAAGTGGGTTTCGAAAAGGGAGAAATACAATGGACTCTATTTTATGTTTGGAATCTGAAATCAAAAAAGCTCAGACAAATGGGGAGATTGTGGTAGCTGTCTTTTTTGATATTGAAAAAGCATACGATATGTTATGGAAGGAAGGGTTACTTATCAAATTAAATAAATTAGGTATAGGTGGTAGACTGTACAACTGGGTGTTGGACTTTTTATTTGGCAGGGCAATAGAGGTCAGGGTGGGCACAGAGTATTCAAGACTCTATAAAGTTGAAAATGGTACTCCACAAGGCAGTGTGTGTAGTCCAGTACTATTTAACATCATGATCAATGATATTTTTGAAAAAGTGGAAAGAAGTATTGGGAAGTCCTTGTATGCAGACGATGGGGGCCCTATGGGTAAGAGGACGGAATTTGAAATTTATTCAGAAAAAATTACAGGCAGCAATTGTGGAGGTGGAACAGTGGGCAAATAACTGGGGTTTTAAGGTGTCGGGTGCAAAGACACAAGTGATATGTTTTTCCAGGAGACATAAAGAAGTGTCCTTAAAATTATATGATCAAACCCTCGAACAAGTAAAAGTTATCAGACCGGAGTGTTGAAAAGTTGACCTGGAAACAGCACACTGATAAAGTCAAATGCAAAAAAATCAATAACCTTTAAGATGTCTGTCAGGAAGGGACTGGGGGGCCACTACAACATCATTGCTTAAAATATACCAGACCTTGATGAGATCTATACTAGATTATGGATGTATAGCATATATCTCAGCAGCAGAATGCCATCTTAAAAAACTAGATGTGGAACAGGCACAAGCGTTAGGACATGCAGTAGAGCATTTAAGACCTCTCCAGTGGCTGCCATGCAAGTGGAAATGGGGGAACAGCCACTAAGAATAAGAAGAACAAGAATTATGCTAACATACTGAATTAATCTTCAGGGACACTGTAGCTCTCACCCCGCTAAAGCCATCCCAGAAGAATGTTGGGAACACAATAAAAGTAGCTGTTTCAGTTTTGGATGGGTGGGAAATGCGAAAGCAGAAAGCCTTGGCCTGTGCAGTATAAAATATATCCCAGTAGTCCCATATCCAGATCTTCCTCCGTGGTTTTTTGTAAATCCATCCATTGACCTGCATATACAGCAAATAATCAAAAAGAAATCCAAGCAAGCACACACGGGAAGAATAGCAGAAAGTTACATAGAGCAGCACTATAGAGATAACCACATAGTCTTTACTGATGGCTCTAAAGATCCAGAGACCAGACAGATAGGAGCTGCCATATACATCCCAGCATACAAAATAGGCATTAAAAAGAGAACCCCAGATCATCTATCAGTAGGTACAGTTGAGCTTATGGCCATTTTGATGGCATTACAGTGGATAGAAGAAAATAAGGAAAGCAAGGTGGTCATTGCATCAGATAGCTGGGCAGCGCTCACCAGTATTAAATCTGTTAAGTCCTGTAGGCTAGATCTGGTATTTAGTATTCATAGCTCTCTATGTAGATTATATCATAAGGGCTGGACTGTCTGCTTTGTTTGGGTTCCTGCCCATGTAGGGGTAGAAGGAAATGAAGATGCTGATATTCTGGCAAAACAAGCACTCAAAGTCAGTTGATATACAAGTTCCTTTAAGTAAATCTGAAGCTAAAACAATCATTAAAGAGAAAATGCAAAAAATATGGCAAGAATACTGGGAACTAAATGAAACTGGAAGACATCTTTACAGTATACAGAATCATGTTGGTCTGGGAAGAAAACTGGGTGGGTGCCGGAAGACAGAGACCCGTCTATTACCTGGTCTAAGAATAGGACACACAGGGCTTAACCATTCACTTTATAAAATAGGTAAACACCCAACTGGACACTGTGTAAAATATAATAGTATAGAGACCATTCAACATGTGCTGGTTGAGTGTAGAGGCTATGTAGAGGCGAGGAGGAAAATAGCAGCAGATGTAGAGAAAGCTGAGCTTAGGTTCACTGTCGAGAACCTCCTTGGGGATAAAGCATGGGGAATATCAAAGCATCTCATTAAATATCTGAAAGAAACGGGATTAATGGAAAGGATATAGGTTTTCAATTTTTATTTATTTAATTTTTGTTTGTTTGTTTGTTTTTTGTTTTATTTGTTTATTTGGTTTTTATGTTAGTCTGCACATAATCTGTTGCACACTCCAGTCCGGTAGGTGGCGGTAATGATCCTAAATGCTGGCTGCCAACCGCCAATCAAATCAAAAGAGGGAAGAAGAAGAAGAAGAAGGCTCCCCTGAAGGGGGCGCTGTAACTAATTTACCTGCCTGTCATTGTGCTGTCAGGGAATGAATGTGTACGGCTAGCCGGCTGGTAGCTTTGGAAATGTTGCCACTATCAGAATGATATCGCAGCGGGACAGAGGAGAACTTGCTCGGTTTTATACTGTCACAGATCCCAAAAAGCACCAGAAAGGCTACACTGTGTACAAAGTCACTGCAAGGGTAAGTAAAAGGAGGAGGGGCAGTCTGACTGCACGGCTAATGCTAGGTGTTGTTAGCTAGCGTTAATGTATACTAACGTTAGCTGTTTAGCTTGCTAACCAAGCTAATATGATGCAGACACAAGTAATGTTAACGTTAACCTCTTGACGATTTGGCTATGGTAATAACTTTTGTGAGCACAATTTGTTTTTCTTTATGATCATTGGATTGCCTGGTTGCTAACTTACATTCGCAATATTAGCCGGACAGATTGAATCCGACCTAAAGTAAACGATGTGTTAACCTGGTATTAACCGTAGCTAGCTAGTTAGTGGTTTATGTTGCGTTACAATAGACGAGCCTTAAGGAGATAATGTTAAGCACATTTAAGCATAAAATAATCAGTTCAGACTCTAACATTAGCTGGACAGCTGGTTTGTGTCATTATATTTTGAGGCAAGTTTTCCCTCTCAGCTTTCCAGAGAAATACCTTGAAATAAGTAATTAACGTTGATGATGATGAAATCAAACTCGCTATTCAAGCTGGGATGAAGGAATGTCAAGGCCCTGTATCTATCTCCCAGAGTAAGGTCCTGCTATACTCTGAAAGAAATTCAAGTTGCAGTTTTGGACAATAAGCCTTTGATTTGTAATCATGGACCCTTGGTTCTACTGATAATATACAACAACTCACAGATCAGGTGTTGGTCAAGCGAAGTAAGTCTTCTAATGATGAAATTAATAGACATTTACCGTTATTCATTTACGCTTCTGTCAGACCTCCAGTTTGGTGCTTGAAGTGATTTTACAGATAGATGGGCACAATCCCAGTTTAATTAGCCGATAAGAACAGGCTGAGTTTCTTTTTCTACGCCTGCCATCCTGCTTGTTATGAATGTTGGTGACATCTCGTTCTTACACTCAGGACCTCCGTCATTCGCCATATAATGCACTCATTGTCACTCTCAGAGTTGTGTCCCTGCTTATACTTGCCTCCCAAGAAACCAGCACTGGCATATTATACATGTAGATAGGAATCACTTCCGTGGAGGCTCTAAAGCCTTGGGTTCTCTTCTCCCTCTTCCACACAGATAATCTCCAGGAAGAACCCAGAGGATGTCCAAGAGGTAAGACATTCAGTCATTGTTTTTATGTTGTGGCTGTGTGAGTGTGCAAAGCAGAATGTTGACTTTCTTGAAAGTGTGTGATTAAAGGAATTTCCCCTGCAGGGTTGGAAGATAAACAAGCACTGCTGCTGTACATATAGTATAAGCTATCTATTATCTCTGCACTAAGTGTGTTGAGGCCTTTCAAGACCACTATAATAACACATTTAAAAATGTGCAGTTTTACAATATTTATTTATGAAATTAAGTTGAGATACAAGTACATTTGTGAGCTGTATGTGGCTCTATATTTCCTGTCCACTTCCTTACACATAGGGCTGGGCAATAATTATCGCAATATAATTTTCCTCAATAGCAATATAATTAATGTTCAATATTTCGTCAATTAATATTTGGTTTAATTCATTTGAAAATTAGCACTTACAAATTAGCACTTTGTTTGTTTGAGGAGGAAAAGGGACTGAAAAAAGATTTACTAATCAAATTTGTTGAAAAAGATTTTGTCATAATAGTTTTGAATGTTCTACGTCAGATTTGTTAAGTAATCTTCTGCTTGGCATAAAGTGTCACATTCTGACCAAAAAGAAAAGTTTAACCACATAATTAACCATCTGGTTTCTTCAGTTTTCACTCAGGAGCAAAAATCAGCGTTTAAACTTGAAAGAAATAATGATTTGACATATATCGTGGTAATTATCAATATCACAGAATTGTTATCGATATATTTTGGCCATATCGCCCCGCCCTACTTACACATGAGATCATATAAAGGAAAGCTTTTTTTGGCCAGAAAAGTTGTCAGAAATAAGCCATTAAATAGGCCTACATCAGAAGAATTGTTGCATTCCTTTTTTGCACATATTCATTCATTTAGCCTTTTGTTTTTACGTTCCAAGCTCACTGTCGCTCACGTCAGAATACTGACTCTCCGGCTGTTATTGGCCATAGATTATATATTAAGGAATGCCTGTCACATCTTCTCTCAAAACAACAGTTTTGTCTTTTAAAATGTTTTAACAGAACATGTAACAATTCCCCTTTTCTCAAAATGTACCAATGAACATGCAGTAAAAACACACATGCATGCTCTATTATATTTGTCACACTGAGGAATGCAGTCTAGCCTGGAACCAGCGCTAATGCAGCAGGCATGATGTCAATTACGGCACTCATGCTTCTAAGAGACAGTGAAAGAGTTTTGCCTGAAAACACATCCCTCCATTATTGAGCAGTGCTCCTGGTTGGGAGTAGTGCTAAGTCCATTTTTTCTCAAAGCAGCAGGCTGGTCAGGATTTTAGCAATTACAACATATTTAGTATTCAGGTTTCGCTTTATCCCACAGAGGAAGGAACTACTTCGCCGATGTTTCTGTGTGAGTGCTGTGACTTGTTGTGTTTTAGGGTTTTATTGCATGAGATGTTGGTGAAATGAAGAATGTAACTTGTCATATGAGTTAGATTGTTTCATGTGTTTGCATGATTTGTGCTATTGTTTAAGTTTTTCGAATGTTGTCTTTAACAAGACATGAATATTCGAATCATCCAGTTATTAAATAAATTAATATTAATTAAATATTTAAAATAAAAACATGATAATGAGATTACTACGGAAGCCCGGACATTTACTTTTACAGACAAGTACAAAAAAGTTACTTCTTCAAGCAGTGTTTGGTAAGCTGTATTTATATAATCCATTTGGTGAAGCTTCCCATGTCTTGAACCACAAAATCCGCCTTCCCCCGTCATCATCGATCTTTCCTCTCTCTCTTTCTGTAGATAACAGTATGGAAGAGATACAGTGATTTCCGGAAGCTTCACCAGAACCTCTTGCAGCTGCACAAGAATGTATGTAGCCAGTCGGAGCTGTTTCCTCCCTTTGCCAGGGCCAAAGTCTTTGGTAAGAAACTAACCCCCCTTGATTCTCCTGTGTCAAACACACACAAAAGTGATAAAGTTAAAGAGACCAAATGCTTGTCTTTGGTCTTTTTAAAAAAATGCTTGCATTCTACATAGCTGTGTAGAGTCTTCTTTTCCTGATTGATATTTTTGGTTCAGGACTGGAGAAGTATTGATGCCCCTGCCACCTTGAGACAGCTCAGTGTTATTACTCGGTAACCACTTGCTTAAAGGCGTTCCCGCTCTTTATGTGTGCGTATCTTTCTATGCATTTATGCATGTGCAGGTCGTTTTGATGACTCTGTAATTGAAGAAAGAAGACAGTGCTCCGAGGATCTGCTACAGTTCTCTGCCAATATCCCTGCTTTGTATAGTAGTCAGCACATCCAAGATTTCTTCAAGGTACTCAAACACACACACACAGACACACACACGCGGCAACACAAACATACTCTCAGAGAGACAATAGACTGCAATGTTTTTCATTATTTTCAAGGGAGGTGAGGTCCACGACGGCTCAGAGCTCATTGGACCAGCTGAACCTTTTTCTGAGTTCCTGGCGGACAGTTTATCAGACTGCAGCTCTGACGGTATGGTTACACACAATAACTGTTCCTCAGAAACAATCTTCCCCATAATTTACAATGACTGTTAATTCGTATTTGCTCAGAGATGTTTGCTCACATGTTTTTCAGTTCAAAAAGACATCAGTGGTGCAGATGATTTGACCATCACATCTGAGTATGGAGGTAAGGTTTGTCTATGCATCAAAATAATTCATATTAATATGAAGTGTGTATCTGTCTGTATTGAGCCTAGCATTGTTTTCTTCCCCAGGCCCATCCAGTGACAGCGACCTGACCTCCCTGGCTGTAGATACAGACTCTTTGGCTGGGCTTGATGATGGCATGGCCTCAGGCCGCACCTCCCCAAACCAAACACAGGGGGGAGCCACCAACATTAGCAACAGCTGGAGCCCTCGCTTGCCCTCCCTCCACACACGCCGCACCCCGTCTCCTGCCCCAGTCCCTGCCTCCTCAGCCCCTAACCCAGAGGTCAGCTGGCCAGGCCGAACGCCACACTTCTCCGGCAGTCTGAAGAAAACCAGCGGTGGCAACCCTAAGGACGTGAAGTCAGACTACCTGGACAGAGCCAGTGAGCTCATCTGTTTGGCTGTACAGAAGGAGAAAGAGCTGGACTTCCAGGCAGCTTTCTCCTGCTATCGCAGCGGAGTGGACCTGCTGCTGCAAGGAGTGCAAGGTCAGTTTGGGAGGGAGTTATTTTACTGACAAAACAAATAACATGGTATTTTACTGTGACAGCTGGTTTAAAGTGTAGTCACATTTGACCCTCCCTGTCTGGTGAACACCCACATCTTTCAAACTGCCCCCAAATTGCAGTGCTGGGTTTCTGTTTAAAAATTGTAGTCTCCGCATCCAGATTCAGACATGAGGAAGCTCTGTCCAGGGTCACAGACCTATAAAACCTTTTTCGCAGACAAAGTCAGACTTGTCATGGCTACTTGTGAACCCATTGAAAATCTTCAAAAAAGTAAATCAAAAAGTACTGCCAGACATGAGCCAGAATTTTAAAACAATCCTTAAAACGTTTGTGGATGTGGGGACGGGCAAGCTGGCCAAAGTGGTTTTGCGAACCGCTGGTGGTCTTGAACAGATATATTTTACAGGCAACACAACTGGATTGAAGAATGTGTCAAAACTAGCAACATCATTGGGAGAAGAGAGGATTCTTCTGCTTTTATTTCACACTTGCTTTGGCATTGGGAACGTCTCTTTACCAATAAAAACCTGTGACCCTGACGTTGCATCCTTCAGTGTGGAGGGGCTAAACCAAAATCACTTTTCATATTTACTTTGTGGCTATTTTAGCTTATTAGTCATTGCACTGATGTTCTTTTTAGTCAGTAAATAAAATGCTTGTACAGAAGCTTTTGACCCTGCACCATAAAAACTGCTTTGTAAAGAAAAATGATTGATCTCAGTCACCCTCTTTTCAGGTGAGCCTAGTCCCACTCGGCGAGAGGCAGTGAAGAAGAAGACTGCAGAGTATCTGATGCGTGCAGAACAGATATCCAGTCAGCATCTGAGAAGCAACATGGGTCAAGGGTCAACACAGACAGTGGTGAGTGGGAGGGAAATGTATGCTGTCTGTGTTAGATTATGCAAATTAGCTTTATATGCATGCATCCACCAGGGTCCTCAAACCCGAGTGTGGTTGGGTTTATTACATATGAAAACATTACAGCAAGTCTGTGTTGAAACACGTTAAACCCATTTATTTCTTATTGTTATTTCTTATTTATATATTATTGTCATTTTTGCACTCATTGGTTAGCTGTCCAACAACTTGTGTGTGCTGCCCAGTAAGTGGCTAAAAAAATTCAGTTATTGCACGTTTAAAGAAACAAACACAAATGAGTGATTTCCTTAACATGCAATTTAGTTCAGTCAATTTAGTTGTATTAGTCTAAATTGTGATGATCACAGACTAGAGGTTATCTTTTTATCTTCGTGACGCTGACTGATTGCTCGATGTCATGATACCTAATGAATATAACCATAATTTAATGACAAAACTGTATAATTGGGGTTTTCTGTTTAAGGCTTTGGGGGCGCAGTGCTGCCCGTCCACCAGCAGAGGAGGCCAGCAGAGTCCATCTGAGGAGCTGAGAGCTTTCAGGGTGCTGGGCGTCATAGATAAGGTCAGTTTAATATTGCAATTTATTTTAATATTATTATAATAATAATAATAATAATAATAAACACAGTAACATAGTTAAAATGGAGAGGGAGTATTCTTAATTTGAAACAGTAATCGTGGTCGTAACAAAGTAATTACACTTAGGTCTGGCAGACACTCTAAGTGGATGGTATCCATCTCCAGATTTCTCCTCCTTGTGTCCTTTCCTTCTTTGACCATCTATTTAATCAGGAGCAATAAAGTGTAATAGATTTACTGGATGGAATGGTACGGGCTGAGTGTTTGTATGTTCAGCATCAGTTATGACTACCACAAGGTCAGTTTAGGTTGCTGGTCCTCTCAACCAGCTGCCGGCGAAGCAACTTCACCACTCAGCCATGAAATGACTTGGCAAGCAGCTCACAACAACAAGAGCGGCACACAACGCTGAATCAGTGATGCTCATCCTCCACACACACAAAACCCCAAGGAAAATGTTGACACAATACCAACATGTGTTACACTACAGAGGTGCATGCAAACTCCAAAATATGTCAGAAACAAATCAGAGACAAAGCAAAATAAAACCATTAGCAGAAAATTGCGCTATCCTGAAATTGCCCGCCTTTCCTCTCCTCTTTCTCCTCCTCCTTCCTCCTTTCACTTTTAATGGGGACAGAAGGGACAGATGGAGACAGCTCCTCACCCTAATGCCCCCCTCTCTGCCCCTCTCTTCTCCCCCTCCCCCCTTCCCTGATGTTTGTGTCTTAATTATATTAGCGCCCTGGCTAGCACTGCCACTCTGTTTACTCACAGCTCCATTCATATCCATTTAGCCTGCACCTGTTTGGTCCCAGCCAGGGTCACATGGAGAGAATGCACCCACAAAACATACGCACGCACTCTACGACGCACAAACACAAACCAGTTCACACACATATGCTCAGGCTCTCCCCTGAGAAGGTGAGGGAGCAGAGGAGCAATGGAGATGTCAGAGAGAAGGAGGGAGGAAATAAAGATATCAGGAAGTGAAATGAGAGATGGTAGGAGCTCCTTTTTGGGGGTACAGATGGAAAGAAAGGAGGGATTTGGAGATGGCACAGCTAGAAATTCTATGTCTGCTATGAAGCATTGCACCGCTCTGTAGTATTTCAAGGAACACATGCGCTCCAAAATCAAAACATTTAGCAGCACAAGCAAGAAATGAGTGCACCTTTTATATCTGAACATAAATGTGCATGACCAGCCGTTTGGCTGGCAGATTGCTTATATGTCCCTAGAGATATAACAATTACAGATTTTGTTGGTACGATTATTGTCAGAAATAATCACGGTTTTCGATTATTTTGTATTAATTATTTTCACAACACTAGTAATGACTTAAGTTGATTTTTTATTTAATTTTATATTTAATTAGATTAATGTTTATATTTCTATAATATGTAAGTATTATTAATATAAGAGGAATATTAACTTTTATCCACAAGGGGAAATTGTTATTATATATAAGGAGGGGACAAAACTGTACCGTTACTGTCATCAACTCTCATCCATACATATATTTTAGTGAAAATGTGAGAAAGAGATTGAGTGCAGTGTTAACTGAAATGCAGGTAATTGGTAGCCTATAGTCCTGAAAGTCAATAAGCTCCTGATGTATGTTAGTGTTTTTCACCTTGCAACATTTTCTCAGCACAGACAGGAGAAGACAACAGGATGTAACGTTAAATGTTCAGTGACTGAAGGTCTTTAGATGACTACTTTCTTAGGCGTTCAAAGCTATGTGGTGATCCCGCAGGTGCTGCATCAAGTTTAATGTAGTTATTCACTCTTGTAGCAGGAACCTTTTAACGGGTGATCCGTCATCTTCAGTAATGCCCTGGTCAGTCTTAGTGTAGCCTACCCGAAATGCTCCCACACTGTCGACTACAGCTGTTTCTTTGGTGGAAATAAAGCTTCACAGTTTGGCCCCTCTGCCATAGTTTAGCCAGTGTACAGTAGCCTCTGATAAGCACGACACTTAAGCTGGTGCACCGCTACTTTGTTTTGTTTTATGCAAGTTGCCACAGTTTTGTTCCATGCAACAGAAACACTCGGTGTTTGGGAGCCTTTATGATTAATTAACCGACGTTTTAAAGCACGGTTAAAAATCTGGTAATCACTGCATCCCTAATGTCCCTTTTTGTGTATGTTGGGGCTGCAACGAACACTTATTTTTCAATAATGATTAACCTGTCAGTTATTTTTTTCTATTGCATATTATAGCATTGTAGAATAGTATTGAACCCCTCCCCTCTTTTGTAGTTACACTACAGACATTTATAGATTCCTTTTAGTCATTGTTATGTGGCTGGGTCAACACAGCAGGATGCGACGTGTTACTGCCAATTTTTCTAGTATAATTTAGGGACCTACATTTATCTTACAGTGACCCTTATGTGTACCCTGACCTGGTCGTTGAACAACATCGCACTGGAGGACGTAACCACTTACAGTACTGTGATTGTCTGTTCATACCTGGCAATTAATGTCACTCTTCCATCACAGGTTCTTTTGGTCATGGACAAGAGAACACAAGAGACGTTCATCCTAAAAGTAAGTGTGTGTGTGTGTGTGTGTGTGTGTGTGTGTGTGTGTGTGTGTGTGTGCGCACCCCGCATCCTTGTCGTCCTGACTGTAAGTGTGAAGTGTGCCAGAAGCCCCTGTGTGTGACCGGTGTAATTGATTCTAATGTGCCTGTCCCTGTCAGCTCCTCTGCTCTCAGGTGTGAGATGTGAGCCAGATGCCAACGCACAGCGCAGGCACAGATGACTACACACACACACACACACACACACATACATCTACACACACTCGCAGCCAATGTGAACTTTTACGTGTAGCGCTGATAGATTTGTGTGGCTCTGTTAAAGTCACGCACTGTATGTGGCTTGATGAATCCAGTGACTTTGGGTTGCCATGGGGCATAGCTGGCACCTCTTTAATGGGAAGTTTCTCCTTTACACCTTGTTCTACACACATACTAAAACACACCTGCCTTCACCTTCCTCTGATCATGTCCTCTTTATTTGGGTTAATTTGGCTTTTCTCCCCTTGTTCTTAAATGCACATTGTTTTTTTTCTTGCGTACCTTACCTTTATTTACTCACCTCCTTTTCCTCTCCCTCCTTATTGCAGGGTCTGAGGAAGAGCAGTGACTGTGGGCGGACTAAAAGAACAATCATGCCTCACTCTGTGCCCCACATGGTGCGGCTAAGGAAGTTCATTGTCTCTGAAGACACAGTTTTCCTTTTGCTGCAGTATGCTGAAGGTAAGACACACTCATCTCATGCTCATCTGTTTCGTTTCCCCTCTTTTGTCTTCTTTACCTCCAACTGTCTTTTCCACTCCTTCACCTAATGTCTCTTCCTTTCTTCTCCCACCCCTCTCTCTGCCCTTGTTCCAGACAGATGTTTGATAGAGATGGGTGTGTGTCACAGGTCATTATTCTGAATACCAGGTGGCGCCATGCTTCATTAGCTATGCCAACACCTGGGCCTCCTTACATCCCACTCACTCTAGGATGTGTGTGTAGCTCATGTGAGTGGGTGAGTGCGTATAATGAAATGCAGCAATATTTTTTAATGCCCTGTAACGTATTCAATCTGGCACACTCTATAACCGCCCTGCGCTAATATTAGTGGACAGTATTGAATATCATATGGGGCTGTTCAACATGATCTAATTAAGCGAATCAAATGCCAGAAAAGGAGTAGTTTCACAACAGTCTTATCCTAGCTCTGTGATTCAGAAAGTCCAAGGTTGCTCTTTATGTTTCTACAGGATGCTGTTAGCAGCTGATGGTTTAAATGAGGATAGACATGCAGAGGGTAGGAGGCAGTGACCTGAGTGACATTGGACAAAACAACATGTGGATGGTTTTACTTTCTAAACCATCAAGCTGCCCCGCTATCATTACCATCCCTGTGAACTCCCTATCCATTCTCATCACACACAACAGATGCTGGCTTCCAATTGCTCACACTACAGGTGTGTGTGTGTGTGTGTGTGTAAGACAGAGAGAAGTCACAATGCTAACATTACACTTGGAACCTGAGGCACACATCCACCCCAACCCCATTTGGCCAAATTGACCTCAATCATAACAGTTTTTGTTTGCCTTGGTTACTCATTCCTAAGTGGAAACTAATGACCCTTTTTCCAAATAGTCCCTGTAACTGAGGAGCCCCAGAAACCAAAGTCAGGAACTAAATGTCTCTTTTGCACATCCTATTTGCTTTTCCACAGCATCTGAAAACTGAATATTAGGTCATTTAGACAGATAGCAGAAAGCTATTTTTCTTTCTCCGTAGGGGCCCACAGGTCATTCTTCCGCCGCTGTTTCTGCTGTAGAACTGAGCTACATTGAAACACCTACAAGAGTGGATTAGAAGTCTACTACATAAATTTGTTACTTGGAATGATAATCAGTAAACCATCCCTATCCCTGTGTTGATACTACCAGCACCCAGTGCTTACTTACTGTGTGAATGAATGATGTACACAAATTGTAGCAGCCTTGAGTCAGCATCTTTCAGTGGTGCTACCTCTGTAGCACGAACCTTTTGGACAATGGAAATTATGGCCTAGGTACTAAATTTAGACCAAGGTGTACCCCTGGTTGAAACACAGGTGAAGTTGCTGATTTCCTAAAAACATTCCTGGAAAAGTTCCTGCAGAGGAAATGTGCTGTAATTATCCAGAAATTGCACAGTTTTCTCTCCAATTCCTCCTTCCTCCTCTTATTATTTCTGCTTACCACTGTATGGGATACACCCTATTTTTTCCATTGTCTTTAATGCCCTGTTTCCTTAATCTTCAGGCGGGAAGCTATGGTCTCACATTGGAAAGTACCTTCGTAATTCCAGCCCAGAGGAGAGCTTTGACATTCCTTTCATCCAGAAGAGCCACACTGCGGCGGTACACTCTCCCCAACATATTGTACCACTTCTGGATGTAGGTTCAGCCAGTTCTGGTTCTGGGCCGCTTGCATGTTCTGATTCAGTCTCAGGGCTGCAGAAGGAAGTGGAGGACCTCATCACGTCTCCTCAGAAACGTGTTCTCGTCCCCAGGCTTATCGAACAAATCGGGGCCCAGTCAGACTCCGGAGCCAACTCTGATGAAGAGTGCACCAACAGTTATTTGACACTTTGCAATGAGTACGAACAAGACAAAGTAGAACCAGATGCACTAGAAGAGGAGGAAGGGAAGAGTGAACAGGAAATGCTGTCACTGGAAGTGCCCATAGCGACGACCACCCCTTCCTCACGTAGTCGCTCGTTGCTCAGCAACGACAGCCTCTCTTCACCTATCAGCTCTCAGGAACTTGGCTTTTTCACAGAGTCGTCCGACAAAAGTGGCCACACCCTTGACAATGAGCAATACCACGGCGAGGGACAGGACCACGGTGAGGTGTTCAGTCCTTTGTCCTCGCCTGTTGTGCCTTTGTCTCTGGATCAGTCCAAGCACACGCCAATGGAGTTCTTCCGTATTGACAGCAAAGACAGCGCAAGCGAGGTGACCTGTCTCGATTTGGGAGAGCAGCGACCCTCTCATAAGCAGGTCCCCCTCTTTTCTACATCTGACCTGGGCTCGGACGTGACTGAGGATTTTCCAGAGCTGGCTCAGGAGGTGAAGGGCCACAGCTTGGAGACTTGGGGGTTGGACTGTAGCGATAAAGGCTCCAATGAGTCAGTGCCAGTCATTTCATTTAAAGAGGCAGTAGTTGAGGATGAGGGTCACCCACCAGACCTTTTGGTCAACCTGCCTGTAATGAGTGGGACTGGAGACTCTTTACAGGAGGAATTACAGACTTCGGGTGTGTGTCTGGGCCTCGAGGCCACAGCCTCTCCTCAGAAGTTAATCCAGCCTGATGTTTTACAACTTCACAGCCAGTCTGAGGAAGGAGAAGAGCAGCCACTAGAGCAGGAGCTTTTATCTTTGTGCACAGCTTCTGCAACTTGTGACAACAGTGTTGCATCTTCCTCTCCCTTCAACTCAGTGTGGGATGACTGCAGCTTGGTGTTTGGGCAAGAAGCCTCTGACAAAATGGTGATTCATCCTGCATGCCAAAATAATGACCTTCCCTTTGACCTTTCAGGTACTGACTCACCTAAAGAGAAACTAGAGGCCAGAGTAAATACTGACATGGATCCAGATCCAAACGGCACAGGCTCTATCCCAGCCACAAACGAGTCTCGTGCAGTCTTGAGTGAGAGTTTATCAGGTCTTGATGGTGAATCATCAAGAGTTATTAGTAATGCAGGTGGCAGCGCATTTGATAAAGAAGTATCACAGCTGTTTGCGGAGCTGGACGAGCTGTTACTGGCTGCATCCCAAGCTTGTATCCCGGAGGAGTTTGTACGGTGCTGGGCCATAGAGATGGTGACCGCCCTGGATTCTCTGCACCAGGAGGGCATCATCTGTCGAGACCTAAACCCCAACAACATCCTGCTCGACCACCAAGGTTTGACATCCATTATAACCACTGCCTTTTTCTGTCTCACAGTGCTGTAGAGAAGAATTTAAAATAGTTTTTTCTGCAATCTCATAGCTCTCCTTAAGCTTATATATTATTTTTTATTTTTAAGTTCAAGTTTACAGTTATTAAAGACCTAATGAAAATCCTATAGACTGTACTAGTAGTTGACATCTCGTCTCTTACACCAAGCAGAAAATCATATCCCTCTGAAGCTGCTGTACTACGTGGAGATCATATTTTTTTTGCTTGTTTTCTCCAGCCAAAAACAAATAACTTGTATGAAGTCAAGATCTCTGTTTATTCCTTTCTTAGAGCAGACAGTAGTTGACTGAGGGACTGTCTCTTTCAGTCTACCATGATGTAATCCATTTGCTAAAATGGAGGCTCTTCGAGAGGCGAAAGTGTTGTTTTACCAGGAGGTCACAGATTCCCCCTCAACTTCTTCTTTTGTCGTCCTGCAATCATCTCTCTCCACCTCGTTATCAACAAGCGTCTAATTAGCTGAGTGGCTGTTTTCGTCTCCCTGGTAGTAATTATTGTTCTAAAGGGCCCATCAACGGCGTAGTGTGGTGCATCAGTCTGGCTAGCCCAGGCTAATGGCCACGGCTACCTAATGACACCATTAGTTCTAATGATAGCGTTAACGGGTAGCCGCTAAACAGGAGTAATCGCAGGGGCTGTGTGCTTGAAAAGCTCGCGCAGAGATGTAGAGAGGCAGAAAGGAATGGAGGAAGGAAGTGCTCACAAGGTGAGTAAACAGTTTGAAAAGTAGCGAGTCGGATTGACACTTGACTGTGGAGGGTTGACAAGAAGTAGAGGATGAGATTAATGTTTCACACTTACACTTTGAGCTGAACACTTTCTGTTTCTTCCTGTCTCCACAGGTCATGTTCAGCTTACCTACTTTTGTAGTTGGAGTGACGTGGAGGAGTCCTATGACAAAGAGGCCATTTCCAATATGTACTGTGCACCAGGTGAGATATACATACAAGTCAGGGTTCAAAGTTAATGTTTTTTTTTTCATTTGCCAGGCAAATGGGTCAGAAGTATACATGCCTGGAGTAAATTTTTACTTTCCCCTATAAAGACTTATTTAGAACCAGTTATTAAAAAAATTATACTAAAGTTAATTGTCATGTTTATTCTTTAGAAATAATGAAGTAAATTAATCAGACAGTGTGTCATACATGCAAAGCAGCAAACATTGTTGCATATTGAAATGGTGTGACAGGTACCTCTCCTTCTCCACAGAGATGGACTTGTTTACTCTGAAGGTGCTTTCAGACCAAAAGTGAAGTGAGCATTGGGGGCGGTGCATTTACATACAAAGTCAATGCAAAGACGCTTGGAGCCGCGATTTTCTGTCAGGTGCAATGCGAAGGCCTTTGCGTGAGTTGAATATTTTCAACTCCAGACACTGAGTCGCAATAGCCTATCAGTGTTGAGCTTGTCTGCACGTCACCGATCGCTTCAGAGCGTTGTGTGGAGAGGGCCAGGCAGAGCGGGAGATTAAAATTCTGCTGGCTGGCGGAGAGCAGCTAAACTTGGGGGAGAGGAGCTGGGAGCAGCGCTGCAGCTTTTGGACAAATAAACACCCGTAGTCGGTGTGGATTATGCTCTAACAACTACGCCGCTTACTCGCGGGAGGAGCTCGGAGTTAACTGCTTTTATTAAATAAGCTTTTTACTTTAGCGATAAATAAGTAATAAATAAATCATCATAAACGCATAAGGATGTTATCTGATAGATAGGTAGATAGATAGATAGATACTCCGTATTGGTTTTGTTCTTTATTGATTCTGTTATTGGTTCTTTTTCATTACTAAATTATTACTTTTAAAAATATATATTATTTAAAAAAGAATACATTCATAACACGATTAGAAGTAAATGTTTTAAACATAACTAAATGATTTTTCTAGAGTAGCAACAGTAATGTTTACGACAGCAAAGTCACTATATAAAGTCAGTATCTCAATAGAAACAAATTTAAAACATCAATTCAATAAATCATATACCTGATCTTGTAATACTAGTAATACGAATAAAGTTAAAGGAAAAAGTGAAGAAGTCCATTTCAGTCCTTCCTCCTATCCTCCTCCTCCCTCTGCATCTGATGCGATTCACTGCCTACAGGTAACCACTGGTAAAGGGGAGCTGCTGGTTTGTCTCAGTCAGCAGCTAAGTTTACAAGAATTTGCCAAATTTTAACTTGCGTGGCAAACAAAGCCCAGCAGTTGGACTACATACAGACAGCTTCCGTTTTAGCTTGTTTGTAACAATTCGCTATCAGCCATGTCACTATTTACTCCCAAAGGTTTAATAGCACTTACTTAAAATACCAAGTGTAGTTGTCGCCTAATCGAGTAATCTCCATCACAACCTCTGTGATCTGCTCGCTGACGTTGCTCCATGTGTTGATGTGGAGGAGGTCAGCCCCTGAGAACAGCGGAGAGGCTGCAGCGTGGTAATAAATTACCCTAGAACAATGCTTTTAATTCTTTGTTGCTAGATTTACTTGCCCAATCTGGTACTTATTGTTGAGCCCAGTACATGCTAATACACTTTATTTCTCTGATTTCTCTTGTGCACTCATTCTACACTTATGAATTAGGAGCCTTGTTTTGTCTGTTTGGATGTCAGGATGTTTATGTGGGGTCAACTCTATGCAGGCATGCAGGGCCTCATTCACAGCCAGACATGAATAAACAATCAAAGCGTGAACAAACCAATCTTGAAACAGATGAACACTGCTTTTTCTTGATTCAGAGATCAACAGAAATCCATATGCAGGGTGCTCTTTCCATTCTGTTCTTTTATGGTTAAAGGAACCACATCTAAAGGATCCATACTTACAGTAATCATCATGGCAGTGTTATTTAACATTTTAATTAACACGCAGAGTGGTTAATATCTGGAGAAGATTGAGAAATGTTCTTTTACCTTTGCAGTTAGTTTTGAGAAGCTGGATCTTGTTGTAGTTCTCTCAATGTCCTGTAGAGTGTGGTGTTGTGCAACAGTGAGCCAGTAGTGCAGTAACCTCTGTGTTACCTCCAGCACTCTTGTAGCAGCTCCGGCATGCTGTTTACAAGCTGCCTAAAACAAACTGCTGCTAGACTACAGCACCATGTCCCTACTTAGCACTTATGTGTGTGTGTGTGTGTGTGTGTTAGGGGTGTTTATATGTGTATGTGTGCACATACATTTGATATCTATAGACGTAAGCTGTTGCATTAAACATATGCCTTGGCTCTAGGGTTGTTGGATAGATTGTGTGTGATGTGTTTAATTACATCTTTCTTAAATATGCAGGATGAATAACAGGTAGCTGAAAACACAGGACGCACTCTGAGACTTACACAATGACCCTCGCACCCATTCACTCTCCCACGTAAATATATTCACACGCACACACGCACACACGCACGCACGCACAAGCACAAGCCAGGAAGGTCACTTCAGATTTAAATCCTCCTTGTGACTAGAACATACAGTATGCCACTGTTGTAATAAATCTGAAAGCAACAAATGCTCGATCTAATATCCAAAGTGTGTATTTTTATTCCCTTTAGCAACAGCTTGTTTAAAAGCCTTCTAATGGAAATCGGAGCGCATAAAGGCATATAGTGGCCAGCGGTAGATGACCTAAAGACACAGCAGTAAAGCTCAGCAGGAGGTGCTTTATGCATAATGTAGCTTAAAGTCTAAGTGCCAAGCCGAGACATGTTTGCCACTTGAGTCATTGTGTAATTAATGTAGTAATTCTCTTGTTAATATAAGTAGTGAGAGATGCTTGTCTAAGAGCATGGATGGTAGGTTTGAAAGGTTAAATATAATGCTGAACAGTCTTGTCTATTTAATAATTTGGCATTCAAATTTAATAATAAACAAAGGTGAATTATGACTAAATATACACTTGTATAGATATTACAGCACTATTAAGCCAATTCTGGATCAGTCAAGTAAAGTAAAATTTTAGCACTTCAACCAATGTTTATTTTCACCATGAAATAATTGAATGTTGTTTATGTTGTGCTGTCCTCAAATGTCATATTTTGTCTGACCAGCAGTCAAAAAACTCAAAGGTATTCATTTTAAAATTAAAAGAAAATTAAACAGAGAAAATTAAACAAATATTCGGACCTGAGAAGCTTTAAGCAGCTTTTGGTTTCTCCACTTGACAAATGATGTAAATGATTAATTGACTTTCAAAATTGCCATTTAATGCCACTATGAATATGCTTTTCAGGCCTGTAAAATGTAGATGTAGTTTGGAATACAAATACAACTATTACCAATGTTGGTAACACAGTGTCTGTTCCTGATGAAAGTAGCAGGAGGAGGCAATAAAAAATATTATATTTATTTAATATATTATTAAATATATTTTTTGTAAAAGTAGCACATCTACTGTAGCTCCTGCTCTTTGAATCACATTTGGGTGGTGTTTTTATTCAGCTCACACAAATAATAATGTTAATGTTGGGTTTAAAATTGAACTGACCTGAGACCAGGTGTGAAAGGTCTTGCTAGTCAAACGACTGTTGATCCCATGTGGATCAATGGATGTAATACACGTTAGCAGCCAGCAGGGGGTGTGTTATGCTGTTGCTGAGCGATAGTAACGCTTCCACATCCAAAACTCAAAGGCTGGCAACTTTTTCTCTTTCTCTTGTGTGTCTCTTATGTCCACCTTTCTTTGATTTTGTAGATTCATGTATACACATATTACAAAGTAATGTCGCTCACCTATTTTGCTTGCTTGTATTTATTGCAAACCCCTATGTTTTGTACATGCATGTATCTGTAGATGTATGTGCTTGTGAACACGCACAGTGTAACGCAGAGGTTAGTGTGTGTGTGTGTGTGTGTGTGTGTGTGTGTGTGTGTGTGTGTCTCCTGCCCTTGTTATGTATTGCTGTTTATCCGGACAGGGTCAGCTCTAGCGATGGCTTCATTCCTGATGACAGATTTATGACTGTTTGCCAGAAAGCTAGCAGGGAGCCTGCTGTGACCGTATGTGCGCCTGTATGTATGTGTGTGTGTGTGTGTGTGTGTGTGTGTGTGTGTGTGTGTCTGTTTAAGAAGGAAACATGTTTTTAAAACGCACACATTCACACCCAAAAAAACACGGGAGTGAACTCGGAAAATACAGTGGCAGGGTATTAATCTATTTATTCTGCACTTCTGCTTATTTACTTTCTCACCATTTTGTCATTACTGATAAACATCAGATGGCTAATGTTTTGTTCTCTAATGAGGAAAAAAAACAAGCTGTTAAGCGGCAGAGTGACGCAACGTAATTTGAGCAGAAATGGAAATTGTTTATTGTTCTGTTGAGGGGGAAGCAAGGCCAAAACCAATTGTCTTTAACGTTTAAGAAAAGGGAAATTCAATATTCTTCCCCTCTGAGGTAACAAGTCAGTTACCGAGGACTCCATCATCGTGCCCGCTGTCGGCTTTCACTCTTTGTTTGTGTTCTTTTACCTGCTCAGCCACAGCACGAGTTAATGGAAGATAAAGTTTAGTTCCCCTTTTGACATGGCACTGTCATGTCATTGTTTAAAAAAAAAATTTAAGTAAGACATTGTGCCCTGAAAGTCCTTTTACTTTATTATTTATACTAATTAATATTTTAGTAGTAGTCTTTTTTTATGCTGTCCTCATAGTAAAGCTGACTTATAGGTTTGTTTTGGAATATATTACTTAATTGTTTTAATCAACAATTCAACAGAGCCTCCCCAGCCTATAAGAAATGCACACACAAACACATGCACACATAGTCTTGGAACACGATACACCAATCCCTCCTTACTTCCTACCTGCTTACATTTTACTTCCTCTTTCAACAATGACTGTCGGTTAAGTTTTTAGGGAAGTCGGCCTAAGAGGAGAAGAGAGAAAGTTCCTTATGGCCCCCAGGAGAGAGGAGATGGATTGTGATTAAGATACAAAGCAGGAGGGAACTGCATTATTGAGGGGAAAGGGAAGAAGAAGAGGCCACGAGGTGAACACGCTGTATTGTGGTGCATCTGAACTCCTCGGTATCCTTTTGTTTTCTTAGAATTCTCATAATTCATTTGAAAGTGTTTCATGTGCTGTTCAAGAAAAGAAAGTGCCAGGTTAGTGGAGGTATGGACACATTTGGAAAATGTACACATCACACAGTCCAATTTGAATGACCCATGGCCTGTGGATGCAGTTAATTCTCCCTTCCCGTCCTCTTTCTCTTTATCTCCCTTTCTCCGTGCTTCGCTCTGACAGAGCGGTAAGTGTAGCCAGCTCCACTGTACTCTCCCTGCAGCTCCTTAGACATTAATCCATTGTGATGACATCGACCTTGCTCTGAGACGTGTGTGTGTGTGTGTGTGTGTCCAGTATTTCCCCTCCAGCTCATAACTACGCAGGTATCACTAGTCCATTCAATGACGATCTTCTCTCCTTGGCTGTCAAAACAGCAGTCCTGGGGAGCCCTGAAGACTGGTTGCTCAGTTGGCTGTGTGAGTGTGTTTAAGCTTGTATGTGTATATGTATGTGTGTACGAAACGTGCAAGTCGCATTATAGCCCTCTCTAACCTTTGCTGTAAGAGAGACACACAGGCCTGTGGAGTCCCCTGAAGCCTCCAGGAGATGAGGGGTCTTTGTCTCTTATGCTCCCCCAGCTGAGGAGCCTGGTCTCTGGGCACACACAGACGTGACCCTGGGTCCCAGCCCTCTGGAGAGAGCAGAGGGAAGCTGAGCGGCACAAGAGGCCATCTGGTACCCAGTGAAGCTAGCACACACACTCTTTCCCACACACATTCACTTTTGACTTAAGCAAACACACTTGGTTTCTGTGTCTAACTTCAACACACACCGTGGAGCCCCAACAGCCTTCCATCAAGTGGCTATCAGGCTGGTTGTGGGTCAGAGTCTCACACAACGTGGCCAGGAGCTAGACCTTAGGTGGAGAACTAGATTTAAAGTGGACAGACTTCCTGTGAAATGTTCATCTTCAGCGGGTTTTGTGGTCTTTACATGTGTGTAGAAGAAGTGTTGGGGTATTGACATTAACACCGGACCAAAGATGGAGAATTTTGGAAAAGGAAGAGAGCCTTATATTAGTTTCAGTTGTCAAGCCAAAAAACAGTCACGGACTGTCAGCAGTTTCTGTGGTAAGGCTGCAACAATTTGTCATTTGATGATTAAATTTAAGGAGTTAATGGACAAAACAAGATGTTTAATGAAATTACTTTAGGCATTAGTAAATTGTAATTATTAATTTGCCACAATTTCCTGACATTGCTAATAAAAATAATTGTTAGTTACAGCCCTGGTTTTGTGCAGGTTGTTTTCAGGAGCTAAAAATAGTGCAAGGAGTTAAAGAAAACTGAACCAAAAATGTTATGCTATTTGTTCTCAGCTGTTCCTGCTTTACATTTCTTGTTGTGTGTGTGTGTTGTGCGAGTGTGTGTTTGAGGTCAGGTCATGCAGATGGTGTGAAGTTGCAGCAGACGGTTCCCTCAATTTAACTGCTTTTTTATTATGCAAATCACCCTTTTATGAGACACGCACTTGTTTGTCTGTGTCTGTGGAAGACTGTGTCCATGTTCTTTTGCTCATTTTGAATTGATCGTATCAATTTAATGAAACATTAAGTAACCCAAGATGCCTAAAGTAAGATAGCTCAAAATGATGTATTCTTATAAGTGGTCTTCTGAGCTTAAGATCAGTAAATTATTTAATTATACACATTGATTATTTACTTATTTTACCATTAGTGTGTTGTTCTTCCCTAATACAGAAGTTGCTTGTTAATTTATTGATTAATTCCGAGTCTTCCCTCTCTTTTGCTCTTGTTTCAGAGGTGGGGGGTATCAGTGAGGAGACGGCAGCATGTGATTGGTGGAGTATGGGTGCCATCCTGTTTGAGCTTCTGACAGGCATGGTGAGTTGAAAAGTACCAAAAAAATGTTTTATCTTTGTTTGCTAAGGTGTTGTGGGATGTCTGTAGGTGTCTTGGCTTTCAACTCTCTCACACTCTTTATGGCCGTGCCAGGTTGTGTGTGTGATTCTGTGCGCGTGTCTGCATGTGTTTGAGTAGGTGGAGTTTGTTGTTTTGGTGTGTGTGTGTGTGTCTATGTGTGCGAGGGATGCGTCTTGGCTGCTGTCTCGTACTCTGGTTCTCGGGGAGTGCCAGGGGTGTCGGTGTGACTTTCTCCCCCAGCCCAGCTCCATCTGCTGGGCCAGGGGGTCAGCTCTCCCCGGGCTTCTTTACTGGCTCCTGAAGCAGCGCTGGGCTTTGAGCGCGCCGATCCGAGGTTGGCGTGGAAGGTGAGGACCAGGGCAGCTCTCAGGGTGCTGGAACTCGGCTGGTCCAGGATCAGACCTGTCTGAGGGACAATCTTTTAAGACGGACTTGGGAGGAAGGGGGTGTATCTCGGAGCATTTTGTTTTTTGTTTGGAAGACAACAGATACATATTTAGCTTTTATACATGTACACATGCTAATTATAAGTTGCTGCTCTCTTGAAGGACAAATACAGACACCCAGTGCAGGTGCAGAGCGGCCCTTCAATTTTTCATTGTCTATTAAATTTGAATAAATTCTAACTGATTGCCAGTGGGCATATTTTCATATCAGCTATCAGTGGTTCCCATCTATGGCCCAAACATGAGTCTGGGTGTTAGGTTAGTGCTATTATGTTGAACAATACATACCCACTTACCTGAGGAGGGGGGTGGGGAGTCACACAGATGTCTCCTTTGATGATTATGTGTGGGTACAGTCCTGGCAAGGATACACACACAGAGGCACACATAGTGTCTCTTGATCCTTGCAGGATAAGATCTTGCCTGGAGCAGTCTTGACTGCAGCTAGGAACCCAGCCAGAACTCCTGCAGCACGCATCAGCATAGAGAGAGAGCGAGAGAGGCAACCGACCTAACTGATGGAGGTGGGGGGGGCACAGGGTCCCCTAAAACAAAACACACAAACAGTTCATGTCTTTCTCTTGTTGCACACGTTCTCTTCTAGCATTTTCAATTTGTAGTTGTAGGTGCACTGAAAGATGTGCTGTTGCAACACACAGTGATTACGGTCATTATTGTCAATTATTTTAACAATGGGGCTGCATTCTGTGGTTGGAAAAGCACTTGCAGGTCTTGTGTTCCCTTACTTCAGATTATGTTTAGTTCAGTTTTCTGTTGGTGCAACAATTCCTTGTAATTGACAGTTTGACCTGGTCAGATTTGACCTCAACAAATAAAAAGTCTTTATATTTACTGCTGCTAAACTGTTGGTCCTTCCGGTAAAGTTGCTCGGTATAAATGATGAATAATGTATAAACGTCATTCTTTCTGTGACACGCAGCAGTTCCAAGAAAGAGCAACAGCAGTGAAATCATTATCTTGTTGTAGTTGGTGTGATCAGTGTTGTTTCAGGTGCTCTGGCTCTTTGGTCTCCTCCTATTTGTCCAGTCCCTGTGCCCTCATATTGACCTAGGCTCTGCGGGTGTCAGTAAATCTGTCCCTTGAGCTCTCAGTCCGTCAGGTTTTCTTTGTTTTGATTGATAGTTATCTATCCTTTTCACCCCTCTGTCCCTCTGTACAGTCTCTGCTGCGGTGCCATCCAGCAGGAATCGGTCGCCACACCGCTCTCAACATCCCTGAGTCTGTTTCAGAGGAGGCCAGATCTCTGCTGGAGCAGGTGAGAGTCCAGTGTGCCACTGGTAACTTTTAATTTCATGCACAGAATTTATTTGAGTCGCCCTCTTAAACTAAAAACTTTACCCCAACTAAAAAGATTTTTTTGTAATTCCGCATAATTTGTTTTTTATAAAACCTTACACACACTTGTAAGTGGAGACTGAAGAAACGTGAACTTGACTAATGCTAAAATAAATTATAGTAGCTCTCGCTCACTGATAGGTTAAATTACTATTGTGTTTACCCATCTTATAAAAATGTGTATGTGTGTCTCTCATTATGTGATATTTAAAATACCCAATTTTTTGGCAAGTCTTTCTCAAGCAGCAATAGTGGTCTGTTTGAAATAAATACAGTACAAGAGCTTGGTTAGCATGACCTGCTACAGTGGCTTAGCAGACACAAAAAAGGCTGTCATCCACCAAAACTGTACCTTTGTCTTCAGAGCACATCAGATAAATGAGTGATCTCTAGGGAGTGCAGCAAAGACATAATGGCAGTCCGAAAATGGAAAAGACTCACTGTAACTTAAAATGATTAGGAATGTATGTATTTTTCTGACAGATTATAACAGATAAACACACATCCTATGCATAGTGGACATGTCCTCAATAACAGAGCTTGCACCATGCTAATATCTTAAAGCTAATTGCAAATCCTCAACACTGGTAATCTTTAGATGTATTTTAATATGGTTAGCATGGATTTATTTCTGCTTAATGTGGCACAAATCTGCCATGAATCCAGTGTAGTTGTAGGGTAAAGGAGTGGTTATGCAGATGCTGTGATATTACTTCATTATTACTTAAAGTGTATTTGGACTGCCCAATGACTGGATTTGCTCATTAGTCATTACACTCAGTGTAACCTGTATGCATGTTAATGCAATAATAGCTTTTGAATGAAGTAACCATAAAGGTTTTGGATGTTAGGTCACACTGCAAAGTGTCATTTTAGAGTCCCTGTGGCTCTCTACTGTAAATGTATAGATTTAAGCCTAGTTCACACTACACAATTTTTAGCCCAATTTGCCGACCGTCAGGCTGTGATCGGGGGTAAATCAGCGGCTGATCTGCGGTCAGCAGTCGTTATGTGTGAACAACTCAACGACGCAACAAAACGGCTCCCCGACACATTTCTGACACATCGCCGATATCTGCAAGATATCTAGCATGCCACATATCTGGAAGAGTCTGCTGACTTGACATCCACATCCAGCCAATGAGAGCAGGTAGCTGGCGGAGCAGGCAGCTACTTTTCAGTCACGTAGTATGAACGCCACAACGAATTCAAGACTCCCGTCATGTTGTGTAGCAAGTTGTGTAGTGTGAACAGCACGGCCGTCGTCCGACGCTGAAAGTCGTGTAGTCTGCACGAGCCTTTTGGTCACTGGCTTAAAATTCTGCTTGTTTCTCTTTTTTGATTAGTCATTTTACCTGGTTTCTTGTTGACCTAAAAATGTGTGTGTCTTATGGTCTCTGTCTTCCATGCAGTTGCTCCAGTACAACCCAATGGAGAGGCTGGGGGCAGGTGTGGGAGGTGTGGATGATATCAAATCCCACCCTTTCTTTGCCAGAGTGGAGTGGCCCAAATAGACGTTGCGCATTGTGGGACTGCCGAAACCAGAGTTGCATGCTGGGACACTGGTTGTCCTGAATGAACTCTCTTCAGACTGGACACACAACTAGATATACAGTAAACACAGATAATGCATTTCTGCACACATCTACCATTTTGTTTACAGCCATTAAGTCTCTGTGTACTTTCGTTTTTGTATGGAATTTGCCAAGAAGCAATGTTACCTTCCTTGTAAATTGCTCATGTCTTTATCTCATAGAAGGTTTACTGTGTAACCTTTTTAGTGCAGGGAACACTTAACAACATGTGTGGTGCAATAATTTATACAGTAAGTGCTGGTACTGAGTGATGATCCACTACAACGTTATTGCTTTCCCACCCCTGATACAGTAGATGTAAGCCAAATGACATGCCTGAGAGTGAGACGTGACATTTTTTGTTTTCACTGCATTCATTAAGTACTGCGTGTTACCCATTCAAACTGACTTAAGTCACCTTTTGTGAAGACATGTGTAATACACTCAGTTTGTTGCCACCTATAAAAGTTATATCATTCCTCACGGAGCATATTTAGATTAGCTGAGAGCGAGACAGGTTGAGGTTTTTTATTTGATGCGGGGGTTGTGTTGCTCTGATCTCTGAACAGATATGATATCATTTCCTACAACATTGTCAAATGTTTTCTTTTGCCAACCCCCTTTTTACTGCCAACCAGCCCACTTACAGTAACAGAGAAGGACACTATGCAAGGTGAATAAACAAAATATGTTGAGGTAGGAGGAGATGGGTTTTTTGTTGTTAAAAATTTAGTCACATTAAGATTGAATTATTTAATAGATTATAGCTTGAAAAAGGGCCAGTCTAACAGACAGCATAAGCCTTCTCCCTGCGTGGTCAGTGTGTTTCATTCAAGAAAAAAAGAATAAAGTAGGATGAGGCTTGAACCACACATTTGAAACCAGCCCCTTTTATAGAGTAGTTGTTTTTATGAATATCAGAGGAAACTCTCTTTACTGAACAACACTGCTTTGTCTGCATGTAAGAATATGATTTATGTAATATATTTAATACAATGAATAGGCTATTGAACAATAAATAATGTGTGTATATATATATGTATAATTTTACCTTTTTTAAAAGATGTGCTGACTGAAAGGTAAACCCAGGTCTTTGATTATGTCCAACTTGTCTATTACGTACTGCCTCATCATTCCAATCCTTTTTATTTGGTTGTGTGTGTTTTATTTTTGAGCAACACATCTGCTAACTTGCCACACAGATCTTATTGCTGATTTTATTAAATCTATAATGAATCCATGGATTACACTCTATATATCACTTCTTATATAATCGGATGAGACTTCTGAGAATTATTGGTGCGTATATAAAACACATCTTAAAAGGTTTACACAGATAATCACTCCACTGTACATGCTGCACTGCGGATTAATACATGTTAACTGACAGATACTGTACATTACCAGGTCCAAATTCCACCTATTAATTCTTCTTATCAGATATAAACATCAAAGTGAGATCAGATTTTTTTATTCATCTGGTTTGGTCTCTGTTGAATGCTCACTCTTTTCTGTGCTGTGAGTCTATACTGGTCTGTCCGAGCACTATGGATACCAATAAACATACCTGGATCAGTACATCTACATGCTTCTTTCATAGATTCAATCGTTATGTGTAAGGTTCGGGGGGAGGGGGTGGTTCTGAGGCTACAGCCCCTCTTATCAGCAGGACTGATGATACCCCTAGAAAGCCACTGTCACTCCCGCTGAGTGTCACTGTGACGATAATACGAGCCAGCACACAGGCAAGCAAACGCACATTTGGCATGTTAAATCCTAAGCACTCACTGATAACACTCGGGTGGGGTTAGGGTATGCCCAGCTTCCAGTTTTAAAAATGAGTTTTTCACCGTGATTAAACAAAGCAATGCAGAAAATGGTTGACTCCCTTAATATTAAACACAAGCCAACTTGGAGTAGAAGTGTATTTTTGGCAATTAAGTCAATATGGTAGCCAATAATAGAAGAATATTTTAGAGAGATTTTCAAATTTGCTTTCTTGCCAGAAGTCAGATGAGAAGATTGATACCATTTTATATGTTAAATATGTGATTGGAGCCATCAACCACTTAGCTTATCTTAGCTTAACATAAAGATTAAAAACAGTCAAAATACAATGTACAAAATAAAGTATACAAAAACAGTTACTGCTCCTGCAAAGAAGTTGGCCGGCACATAAACAATATATAATGTGAGTTTAGTAAGCTTTAGAGGTGGAAGTAGGCAGATATTGTAACTACTGGACAGAGCCAGGCTAGGTTTTCCCTCCATTTCCAGTGTTAATGCTAAGCTAAACAAACCAGCTGCTGGCTGTAGCTTCATGTACTGTACAGCGTACAACCATGAGACTGGTATCAATCTTCTCATCTAGCTCTCAACAAGAAAGCCAATAAGCATATATCCTAAGAAAAAGAATAATTGCTTTAATTAGCAGGATTTGACTTGCTGATTGATTTGCTGGACAGCTCTTCACCACTGCAGCTTTAAATGTGAGTTGAACTTGGCGGTGATGGTGGGTATTTTGGCGGGACCCTGGCTTTTTTTAAACATTTAAAAATCAATCACATGTCCTTTGTGTGTCAGTAAGATCACTCAACATTCTTCAAAATCATCTCTTAAAAACTGATTTGATAACTTTTTCATATCAGAATATTTTCATCTTTTGAAGAAAATTCACACACGGGCTTGATCTAACTGAACATGAACTCATTCCTGCTATAACTATTACCTGAAATGACACATGCTCATCTACACACACACACACACACACACACAGGTCGGGGGAGTTGTTAGCAGTGTCGCTGTGTATTCCCTTGTTTCAGCCTGACTGCCACAGGGTCAAGAGTCTGGGCTGATTAGTGCTTGTCATAAGACCTGTCTCTCATTACACACATACTCAGGGCGAGAGGTTCACCTCAGCTCAGAGAAGAAACCTGTCAATCTTACTCAGCGTAGATGTGAGATGTGCCTTCAGTCGGTTCTCAATAGCAGCAGAATCCCTCCAAGCATACTTTATGCTCCTGTACATAAAGAAGTTCTTCCACTAATGGTTAAAATTTGTCTGATATGGACTTAAACGGCATATAACACAAACCTAGAATCTATTTTCTTGTATAATGTGGTTAGGCACAAAGTGATGCCCTGCTGTAAAATTTCTCTCAAACAATGACATATTTGCAGTGGTGGAGATTATTTAATTGTATTTACTCAAGTACTGTACTTACAGTTTTGAGTTACTTGTACTTTAGTAGTAGTATTTCCATTTTTCTTAAACTTAAACTTCTACTACACATAAGTCAGAAGGAAATGTTGTAATTACATTACATAAAAACAAAACAAAATAAGCTTATAAATTACAAAACACTGTTCAAGATTAAACAGGAACCTTTTTGTGTACAAAAAAAATAAACACATTGCATCTGGTTTGTTTAGTCTGTACAAAAACTGTAACAAAAAAAACAACAATTTATTGCAAAGAAATAGTCTGCTAGCGTTAGAGATACTGGTGGATTTTGTTACTGCTAGCAGTTTCCCTTTGTTTCCAGTTGCTACCCGTAGCCTAAAATTTAATAGACAGGTATGAGAGTAGTATCGATCATCTCATCTCTCTCTTCACCAGAAATTAAATAAGAATATCTCCCAAAAGCTATTTCTTTAAAACTAGCTCTACCTTAGCCAGCTATTCCCTACCAGTAAATGCAAAGAATACATTGATGTATCAGTTTCAATGATCTAATTATGTAATATGTAAAAACATATTGCTCAGTGGGGTACTCATCTACAGATTGAGTACTTGATACTTTTTGCTGATAAGAATTCTGTTCTTTTACATTACATTTACTCATTTGGCAGACGCTTTTATCCAAAGCAAGTTACATTAGAGGAACAACATACAAGCATCAATACAGTACGAGATCTACAACTCACAATACATACTAGTAAGAGCTAATAGCACGTAAGGCATCAATGGGGTAACCTGAGTAACATTTTTTGATTGAAGGACTTTTTAACTTGTAATGGAGTATTTTAACGTTGCTGTAGGCTACCAGCACCTTTACTTAAGTAGAGGATCTGAGTATTTATTCCACCACTGTCCATTTGGCCTAACACACACAAAGAACTAAGGTGCATGTGTTTTACATGTGTGTCTTTGTGTGGATACAAAGCCACAGGGAAGGATTCGTCTGGTCAGAGGCAAGATGGAGAGGACATGCCAAGGACTCCCGTGATGCAATAAAGTCCTCTCATTCTACGCCCTGAAAGCGTCACCCAGGCCTGCAGGCTGAATTGACCCCTGAACCCCTTCTGCAACTTCCTGGACCTCCCTCTCTCTTTCTCTGTAGTCTTTTTCCACCTCTCTCTCTCTCTCTCTCTCTTCAAATGTGCCTCCCCTCACCCCCTGCACCCATCGCTTTCACACACAGGCACCAGCAAGCGGGCAGCAGCCAAATGGCCTGCCCTCTGCTTCATATTGCTGTTGGTCAGGTTTTGTTTTTGTCTTTGATGGTTTGACTTTCGTTCACAAAGCCCAGGAGGACTCCTGTAGCCCAGGGACGGACTCACACACTCACACTTGCGCCAAGCTGAAGAGTTCCGCACTGAGACCCGGGGCATCTTCTCCAGCTTCTGTCAGAGCCATGATGTCATTATGAAGAGACACAAAGCCTCTTCATTACCCCCCTCCTACCCACAAACACACACACACACACACACACACACACACACACACACACACACACACAAGCTATCAACAGAATTAGAAGCAGCACATGGTAAGGTACAGGTGAACAGCAATGTAAAACTAGTGAAGGTGTAAAAAATATTTTCTTTGTATCCAGAGTAGTTGATTGATGTACAGCTTTAGTTTCTTTCTCAAGTTACTGTATATTATAAGACGTTATATCTTCAAATCTTTGGGACAATAAAACACCTGCGTATTGCACTTTCCTTAAATTTCTTTAAAATAAATAACAAATTCAGAAAGTACATTTTGTCCACTCTACCCATTGCATATACGTTATATAGTAGCAAATGTGGTTTAGTAGTGCAACAAGCAGTAGGAGCTGGTGTCCAGTTTCATCCTTAGGGAAGGGATCATGACCAAACAATGTCAATAAACAGAAGAAAAGCAGAGACATAAACCAAACTACTATCATGCAGTTACTGCCCAAATGTGTCTTTTCAAAATATATCATAAAATCTATTGACATGTGTGAGAAAAGGCCTGAAATAAAATGCAAAAATTGATCTAATCCTCACCCTATGTATCGTATACTGTACCTACAGTAACTCATTGGCTCGTAATAAGAGTCAGTACAAAATTTATAAAAAAAAGTATTTTCTTGGTTTAAAAAAAACGTATGTACAGCATATCTTAACAATCGTTGCCTGCCCCAGAAAAAATAAGATCTAATTAAATCTCCTCTTGGTCTGATTTTAATTAACTGCTGTTATACTACTTGTCACTGCCCTTGTGCCTTGGGCTGTCTCATGTCTTAATCTGATCAGATAGTACAATGCAGCTCTGTCTCTTACCTCAGCTCCTCCACTGGACTGAACAAAATAAGGCTCTGCAGCAATGATGATGAACTGTGTAAATGTGAAAGGCAGTTCCAGTAAATATCACTATCTGTAAACACAACCCCAAAATGAACCACAAATTGGCCATAAGGGTTTAGCGATTTTACAAACAGGTCTTTGACCTACAGTGTGCTGGTGCACCTTTAGTAGCTGTATGGCTTCGTACTGCAATGCTCTGCTTTCCTGCTTTAAGACCGCAACAGGGTCACTGGGAGGTCAACAGAAACACAGGCCTGTGACGTCATGTGAAGCCACCCTTTAAAAAAAAAGAAAGAAAATATACTGGATCTTGAGGTATTTCATAATGACACCTTAATCAGAATGTATATAACATCAGTGAGTCCTCTTTATAAATGACATATAATGCAATCAATAATCAGCAGGAAATAAAATCTCACCTGTACACCTTAGGGAAAAAGAAGATCCACAAACCAAATCCACAAAACAAATTGAATTGAAATTAAATTAGTAAAAATGCAGTAGTTTTTTTAATTAATAAAGTTGTGTATAGTTTTAAGGGTATTTTTAGTGTTGGTTGATTAGGATGAGATCACTGTGATTACAGACAAATAAAGTGAATGTTGAACCCTTAAAACTTCATTGTTTTGAAAGAAGTATGGGCAGGATACTAAAAAAAAGCTTTAAAAGTAAAGTAGTCATTTAGAGTGTGTGGGAATTTTGCATCCAGTTTTTCTATCTAGAACATTTGGGCATAACAGGCATCAGTGGCACCTGTTCAAGAACAAGAAACCCATATAGAAAAGGGCCATGGTCTGCTTCTATACAATGCTCTCTATTTTTTCTAATTGGGGTTTTATGGTTAGAAATCTGAAAGCTTTCTCTGTTTGACCAACATACATTTTGACCATGTTTAATTGTGTAGTTATTTGAATGATACTAGCACAACTGTATGCTCTTAAGTTTGAGCATCATGGAGTTAAGGAGTCTCACTGGAAACAGAGAGAGAGAGAGAGACTAAGCACAGTCTAAAAGCCTGC